CTCTCTCTCTCTCTCTCTCTCTCTCTCTCTCTCTCTCTCTCTCTCCCCCCCCTTCTCTCCCTCTCTCCCTTTCTGCAGCTCTCTCCCCACCTCTCTCCCACTTCCTCTCTCTCTCTCTCCACAGACCCTTTCCCTTTTCCTTGTAACCGCCACTTTAATAAATTTCTTGGTCCTGGCCGGGTGTGGAGTCATTACTGGCCCCGAACTTCTTTCATTCCTCCCCTCCAAGCAGGAGTTGTAATGACTCCTGTGGGTCACCGGGCCCTGTCAAGCCTGTTTTGTTGACATCTGCCAGTGTGTCTTTTTCCTCCATCCACACTGTCATCTTGGTCCATGCCTTGATGGCTTTTCTGTGCCTAGTCCTGTCCCCCTTGACCCTTCCCACAATGCCTCCCAAGGGACCTGTCTCCACCAAGGTGGAGGACACTAGTGTTCTACATGGACACCTGCCCACCTCCATCACCTGCCACACAGTCCAGACTGCAAGGCATTCATGTCAACGTGTTGGAATTGATTGCCTTGCCCCAAATAGGCTGTGAGGGGCCAGAAGACACAGCCATGGCCACGTCGTGGCTCGGCCACGCCGTGGCACTGCCACATCTAAGTCATGGCTCAGCTACATCTGAGTTGTGACAGCCACATTGTGGCTGTCTTGTGGGATCAAGCACATGAGCTTGAGGAGTTGAGGAGACGATGAGCCCTGAAGGACTCCTCCTCAGTGGGCCTCTGACGGGCTCTCTGTGTCCTCCCCAGAGGCTGTCCCAAGAGAAGCAGACCTCAGACTCCAATAGCCTGGGCATGGGTGATGGCTGTTCCACCCTTGGGCGCCGGGAGACCTGTGAACACGGTAGGGCCTCTGGGGGCTCGGACTAAGAAGCCGGGCGGGGAGGGGCCTGGCCTGCAGCCTACAGTGACAGGCAGTCCTGAGCACTGGATACCTGAAGCCATAGGACCAGCCCTGTGCACAGCCTGAAAGAGTGTGGGGAAGGGGAGGTAGTGGACCTCGGGACTCTGCCCTGACCCATCTCTGACCCACAGGCAAAGGGAAGAAGAGCAGCCTGGCAGAGCTGAAGGGCTCAGTGAGCAGGGCCGCGGGCCGCAAGATCACTCGCATCATCACCTTCTCCAAGAAGAAGCCGCTGCCCGATGACCTGCAGACCACCTCCACCGAGGGGGAGGTTCCATGCTGTGGTGGGTCCTGGCGGGGAAGGGCAGGGGTGCGTCCTGGAGGGGATCGGGCCTGTAGACACGAGGTGGGTCCTAGAGAGTGGAGGGGTCCAGGCCTGTAGATATAGGGAAGGTCCTGGAGGGGAGGAGGGGGCCTGCCCCTATGGACCTTGTGTGGTTCCTGGCAGGGTGCAGGGCTCTGGCCCTGTGGACACAGGCTTCTGGAGCCGAGGCCAGGAGCACTCCGGGCCTCACCCACCTCACACACAGGGCAGCGAAGGGACTCAGACTGCTGGCAGCTGCACCCCTCCCCATTGATGCCCCAAGTCTTCCAGTGGCTTCTCTCTCCAGGCACTGATACTCAGCGAGAGAAAAGGCCTTCCCATGTTTCTGTGCTCCCTGTGCCCTCAGCCCAAACTGCTGCCCATCCTGGCCTCAGTTTCCCAGTTCCCTCCACTCTTTTTTCTTTTCTTTTTTTTTTTTTTTGAGTTGGAGTCTCACTCTGTTTCCCAGACTGTAGTGCAGTGGCACACTCACGGCCACCCTGGTGTCAACCTGCTGGGCTTCGGTGATCCTTCTGCCTCAGCCTTCCAAGTAGCCGGAACTATAGGTGCATGCTACCACACCCAGCTAATTTTTTATTTATTGTAGCGACGAGATCTCGCCAAGTTGCCCAGGCTGGTCTCAAACCTGCGGACTCAGGCAATCCACTCGCCTTGGCCTCCCAAAGTGCTAGAATTACAGGCTGAGCCATCAAGCCCAGCCCCCTCCACTCTTTTTGAGAGAGGTTATCTTATCTAACATGCCAGGTGTACAACTCACAACCCAGTCTTAAAAGGGAACTTCATGGATAAAAGTATTTAATTACAACCGGGCTCAGTGGCTCAGCCTGTAATCCTGCACTTGGGAGGCTGAGGTGAGTGGATTGCCTGAGCCTGCAGGTTTGAGACCCACCTGGGCAACTTGGCGAGACCTCATCTCTACAATAAATCAAAAAATTAGCTGGGCATGGTAGTGTGTGCCTGTAGTTCCAGCTACTTGGAAAACTGAGGCGGAAGGATCGCTGGAGCCCAGCAGGTCAAGGCTGCGGTGGCCGTGAGCGTGCCACTGCACTCCAGTCAGGGTGACAGAGTGAGACTCCAACTCAAAACAAACAAAAAAAAGTATTTAATTACTTTTAATTAGAAATGCACTCAATGTGAGTTTCAAGCGACTTGAACTGGAAAACATTGTTTGTTCATGTAAATGCAGTGTTCATATACTGAAATCCAATCAGAAATCAGATACTTTGGATATGCATTAATATTCTACTAAGCCTGAGAAAAATATTTATAAAAGTACATGACTTTAAAGCCGGGTACAGTGGCTCACGTCTGTAAGTCCAGAACTTTGCAGAGGCGGGAGGATCAATTGAAGCCAAGAGTTCAAGAACAGCCTGGGTAATGTAGCAAGACCCTGTCTCAGAAAGAAACAGTTTGTAATCAGTGAATCAGAGCATATTATGGTTTAAAAGATACATTTCGACCTAAAACATTAAGAGGGAATGGTAAACCGCAGGTCCTCAGCTGTATAGCTGGCTATATCTTGCTGGATTTAGATACTTGACCTTGGTGAATGTCATGTTCCCACACACTGCCACTAGGTGTCAGCTCCATCCGTGCATTTCCGTCTTCAGTGACAGTAACTTTGGGGGAAGGAGAGACATGTGCTGTATATGTTGTCGTGTGTGGACGTTGTCGTGTGTGGACGTCCTGGCTTTCACCAAGCCAGGTGGGGCCCGCAGGCTGTGCTGTGATGCCCAAGGGTCACATCAGTTCCATCTCACAGCTGCAGCCAGCAGCTCCGAGGAGCAGGCTGAGGTCACAGGGCGCTGACCCCAGGACCTTGTGTCCAGCTAGAGTGCCGGGACTGCCCCAGGTGTAGACCATGTACCCACCTGGCCCCAGTGGTGTCCTGGACGGGCCGTGGGGTCACACTGCCGGTCCCCCCAGGCTACCTGAATGTGCTGCTGAACCAGGGCTGGCGGGAGCGCTGGTGCCGTCTGGAGTACCACACACTGTATTTCCACAAGGACCGTGACCTGCGGACGCACGTGGGTGCCATCACCCTCCATGGCTGCGAGGTGGCCCCGGGCTTCGGGCCCCGACACCCTTTTGCCTTCAGGATCCTGCGAAACCGGCAGGAAGTGGCCATCCTGGAGGTGAGAGGACACAGGCATCTGGTGGCGGGGGAGGAGGGACAACACTGGGGTCTTATTTTTTGCCACTGACACTATGGGGATTGCTGCCAGGTGGCCAACAGCATTCAGGACAGCCCCCTAATTTGAATTTCAGGTAAACAGCGAGTCATGTTTTTAGTATATCCCATGCAACACTTACGCTTATACCTAAACTAAAAAAATGATTTGTCATTTACCTGAAATTCCTATTTAGCAGAACATTCTTGTCTTCGTTTACTAAATCTGGCAGCTCCAAAACCAAGGTTTGTTACTCTCCCTGACCTTAAAGCCCCACACCTGAAAGGTGTCTAGTCTGGTCTCACCTGAGCTGATTCTGGAATCCCTGAGACCTCCCACAGTGGTCATCTCCAGATTAATCACGGCCCCTTCCATCGAGCAAGGTACATTTTTAGGAAGACTTTTCCCATGCTGGGTAGAAACCTTCAAGTCACAGGAAGACAGTAGCCAGGCCTGCTCGCATGCTCCTCTTTATCTAGAACCTGAAGTGACATCAGCACATACCGTGGGCTCCAGAAGCATTTGGAAAAGTGGGATGGTGAGATGGGGCTTTATTTCACTGCACACTGTCCTTCCTGCTGGCCCTGGCCCTCCTCCCCGAGGTCATGCAGGACCGTGGACTTTCCCCGACAGGCAGCCCTGGCGAGTTAGAATTTTGAATGCTAACACTGGAGGAAACTTAAGTAACTACCTTCTCCTGTGACTGATAAGGAAACTGAGGCCTGGGTGGCGGGTCCCTTGCCCAGGGCTCTACAGAAAATTCGTGGCCTCGTGGGCTTGTTCTCTGCCCAGGACCCACTGGCTCTCTCAGTTCTTAAATGCCAAGAACTGCTGTCTCCATAGCTCACTTTTATTTTTGCTACTTTGAGATAGGTCTCTTACCTTTCTCGACTTTTGGGTAGAGTTCTCTAGCAAACATGTGCGTCTTTTGGTTACGCCCAGCACTTGTATACTAACTTGATTTGATTGCAATTCTCTTTAAATAAGAATTAGCATAAGTATGTGTTTAGTTGGCAGCAGCTTTGTGGAGATGTCCCTGTGTACGGTACTATCATTATTTGGCAATTATGATCATAACATAAGAAAAAAATGAGTTCTATGAGAAATAGCCTCCGCTAGTAAAAAGTAATTGCTTTTAAACATACCAAGAACACCCACGTGTTGGTGTTACATCCAAATGGTGGGAAGACTCTGACAATGGAAGGAGTATAGGCTGTCTTAGCACGGTCGTCAGGGAGGGTCTTCCATTCCTTTGAGTGGAGGGAATGAATGGAGGGAGGGGGCCTCTTAGATGTCTGGTTGTGTGTTCTAGCCTTGTTCCTCTTTGACCCCTACGTACTGGGTATATGATAGGTACGCGCAGCTGTTTCTGGGTCTGGCTGAAGTGGACAGGTAGCCAGGAACCCCGACGGTACCCAAATGTCCCACCTTTGCCTCCTACCTTAGGCCAGCTGCTCGGAGGACATGGGTCGCTGGCTGGGGCTGCTGCTGGCGGAGACGGGCTCCAGAGTCACCCCTGAGGCACTGCACTATGACTACGTGGACGTGGAGACCCTGACCAGCATCGTCAGCGCTGGGCGCAACTCCTTCCTGTGAGGCACAGCCCATCCCTCCTGCTTCCGCTCCCTCTCTTGGGCCCACGGCCAGCCTGGGCCCTGAGGGACGGGAGGGGAGCTAAAGGAACTCTGTGTCTTTGGGAGGCTGGGGAGGGCAGCTTTCTCTCCCAGCAAAGAGGGTGTGGTGGAGGGGCTGCCCAGGGCTGTGCAGCTGTGGATTGAACAAGCAGGCCTGGGAAGCCGTGGAGTTGAGGCCGGCCCCGCCCTCGGGCCACGTGGCCCCAAGCTTCCCCACCCTCGAGCGTGGGCACGCAGCTGGCACATGGCAGGTTGGAGACCCAGCTCTGTCGCCCAGCCGTGGACGCCGCCGCCCTGGCTCTTCTGTTTTGTGATGTGCATGGAGGTGATGAGTCCCCTGTCTCCCAGGTTGTGAGAGTCACTCAGGCCTCGCCATGAGACCCCAGCACGGCACATGGCATGGCATGTGGCGTGACACAGCAGTTACGGACTTCCCGCATTAGTTGGGAAGGGAGTGAGGGCAGGAGAGAAAGCCCTGCAGGCCACAGAGTGTCATTGTTATGGTCAGCGAGCCTTTTGTTTTCCAGATACGCCAGATCCTGCCAGAATCAGTGGCCTGAGCCCCGAGTCTACGATGATGTTCCTTATGAGAAGATGCAGGTAACTCAGGGCTGCCAGGGCCGCTGCGGAGGCGTGGGGGCTCTCCCTCCTGTTCCTCAGTGAGGTCACTTTCACTTACCCAGCAGCTGGAAGAGACGCCCTTCTTATCACAGATGGATGGGAGGTCCCTGGCAGGAAGACTGGGTGGTGCGGTGGGAGGAGCCCAGATCAGAAGGGCTCATGGGCCCTGCAGACCCTGCGGGTCATCCATGGTTGGACCCAGGGGCCAGCTCCTCTGGGAGCTAACACGGATTCCTGGTATCTGGCAGTTGCTGACCAAGGGCTGCCCACAGGCTCCACCTGGTGGCACTCATGATCTGGGCTTCAGCCCCTCAGGCTGGTCGCCCTGGATTGCCAGCTGAGCCCAGGAGATGCCAACCTTTTCACTGACCCGAGGCCCGTGTGGCCATTCCATGACCTGGGCACTTATGCAGCATGCATGGTGCTGCCTCCTCCCTTGGAAGTCAGACGAGAGCCACGTGTCGATGCCATGTGGAAGGGTGGACCAGGCCTCACAGCTGGGCATCACGCTGCCAGGGACACCAGACACGTCTGCAGGCTGGACCTCTGCCCTGGATGGGCTGGGTGCCACTGGGTCCTTACATCTAGGGTTCCGTTTTCTAGAATCTTCTCCAGTCATCCTTCTGTGCACATCATCTCTCTTTAGACTCAGAGGACCCCGTGGATGTAGCTCGAGGTGTTTCTAGGTCGCAGGGTTTGCCAACAGGACAGTTTAATGCTAAGGATATGATGCTGGAACCAGACTTGGGCTGGGGCTAGGCCAGGTGACCACAGGCTTCACATCTCTGATTGTCTTTTCCTGGCTCCAGACGATAAAACCTAACTCCTAGGACTGCTGCACGATTGGCATAAGATACTTTCTGTAAAATCCTAGCTCAGTGCTGGGCCTCAGAAGACCTTCCAGGAACAAACAGGGTTGCTGTGCACAACAGCATAGTCATATCATGTGATCATTATTCCCTCCTGAACGCTGGCAGAATTCTGAGTGTCCTAAGTACTCCTCATGCACAAATGTGTGATCAGCCTATCAAGCCATGTCATGCCTACCACTGGTTCACCTAACCCGTGACATTAAGACACTGTGTGAGCAATTCAGAGTTAGAAGGACGCTTCCAAGTATGAGGACAGAAATATTGGTGAGAAGTCACAAGGGCCCCTTGGAGTCTTCTGAGGCTATCGCACTTTCTCCTCAGTAGATGGCCCCATCTAGGGCTGCTTTCTGCTCCCCCCAGCAGCAAGGCACAAGGTTTCAATGGCACACTACTCATGCAAGGACTGTAAAGACTGTTGAGTGCTGCATGAGCTTAGAAATATCGGGCCAAGGTCTCAGAGCAGGGACTGCCCACACCCAACCAGGCAGGGCACTCCCTCATGGGCCAGGCCAAGCCACTGCCTTCACCGCCCTCCTCCATTTCTCACCCAGGACGAGGAGCCCCCACGCCCCTCGGGGGCCCAGGTGAAGCGCCATGCCTCCTCCTGCAGTGAGAAGTCCCATCGTGTCGACCCACAGGCCAAGGTGAAGCGCCACGCCTCCAGTGAGTCCATATGGGCCTACCCTGCTAGGCAGGAGGGGGAGTGGTCTACGGGGGGGGGGTTGTCTCAGCATCAGCCTCTCTGGAGTCCAGCAAGTTGATAAGTGAGGGAAGAGAGGTGCAAGAAAACATTCTGTCCAAGAAAGTAACACACACGCACTGCTATACAGAGCAAAGAGCATGTGGCACACGGGAAAGAGACAGGGAGGGAGACTGCCAGGAGCTGGAGAGGCCCAGCTCCACCAAGGTCCCATGCTGCGGTGCCAGCACCTGCAGCCAGATTCGACACTTGTTCAAAAGATGCCAGAACTCTAGACTTTATGTGAAATCGACTTGCTTTTTAATATCAGCAACGGATTTTTAAAGATTTAAAACCAAACGAAGCCAGAAAGAGATTGTCTACAAGCTGCGTCTGTTTCTGAGGCTCTGTCTGTGAGTTCTGATCTGGGGTAATAAGTGGGGAACTAATCCCTCTAGACATCCCAGCACCAGCTGTCCCGAAAGCAGCCCAAGCCCCAGCCTGGCACTCATGGGCTCAGCGGGTCACCTGGTTGCCACGCTGCACTGGCACAACTAAGAAGAGCAGGCAGTGCCGCCGGGCATCCTGCTTGGTTTTTGGCAGTCAGTCCTGCTTGTGAGATTCACCTTCAGAGCAGGCAACTTCCCCGAGGACACGTGCCCCAAGGCTTTTCCTTGTGTTTTGCATTCCTTCATAACCCGCCACAGCCCTGGGAGCGTTTCCTTCGCTGCAGCCCCTGTGGGGACCCTCCCAGCTGTGTCTCCTGCCCGGATCCCGACTAACACAGCTGCTTGCTGTGAACCACACTGTACACAATCTGGGTCTGAGCAAAGTCAGTTCTGTTCTTTGTTTTTGGCAGACTCGCTTTTGGTTTTGTTTTTATTGAAGACTTATTTTTTTAAACCCTTTTCTGTATCATAGCTCCATTGCATGAGCATGAATCACCCCTCTGGGGGTCAAGAGATCTGAATTCCATCCCACCCTTCACCCTTAAATTACTGAGTAGCTTTGGAAAAAGGCTTTTTCCCCTCTCTGGGTCTGAGTTTCCTCTCTGCACAATTGGAGGGTTGTTGTGGAACACTCTCCACACTCTACTCTCAGGGGCACTGGAAATGCAGGGCTTTGTGAAAAGCCCAGTTTGAAACGGAAAACTAAACTGAAATAAGCATGTAAGATTACAGAAATCACAAAATATCAACAAAAAAAAAACCTAACAGACCAAAAAAGCAAACCCTTTCTTCAAATCAAATATGATATGAAAGTCCAGTTTATAAAAGAAATATAAAAGTGGAGTCACCCTGGCTGAGGCCCACTTGGCCTCCCTTCTGCCATGTAGGAGACTGTCAGCCACTGCAGGAGTTGCAGGGTTTCCTGAAGGGCAGTGGAAAACCACCAGTGCTGTTTGTTTTTCAGATGAAGAAACCAAAGGACATAAAGGGAAGGTGTCTTAGTCCATTCCTCCCACTGTAACAAAATACCATAAGCTAGGTAACTTACAAACAACAGAAATTCATTTCTCGCAGTTCTGGAGGGTGGGAAATCCAGGATCAAGGTGCTAGCAGATTTGGTATCTGATGAGGGTCCTATTTCCTGGTTTGTAGACGGCATTGTTTTGCTCTCTGGAGTCTCTTTTGCAGGGGCGCCCATCCTCAAGACAGAATCACCTACCAAACACCATTACACTGGTGATTAGGTTTCTACATATGAATTTTAGGAATGTATACATTAAGTCTCTAGCCAAAGGATCTTGCCCAAGAGCATGTATTAATTACCTATTGCCACGTAAGAAATTTACCCAAAATTTAGCAGCTCAAAACAATGAACATTCTGTGGATCAGGAATCCTGAGAAGTTTAGGTAGTTGTTCCGGCTGCAATCTCTCATGAGGTACAGTCAAGCTGTTGGCTGGTCATCTGAAGTCACCTAAAGGCTTGACGGGTGGGAGGTCCACTTCAAAGAGGTGCCCTTGAATGCCTGGAAAATCTGTGCTGTTGTTGGAAGGAGGCCTCAGTTCCTTGCCACGGCAACATCTTCACAGGGTTGCTTGTCCTCATGATGTGAAGCTGGTTCCCAGAACAAGTGACCCAAGAGGGAGCGGCAAGGTAGATGCGCAAGGTCTCTTAAGACCTAGCTTTAGATGTCACACTTTTATTTCTGCAATATCCTAATGGTTGCCCGGGCCAGCACTATTTAGTGTGGGAGGGGACTCAATAAGGGCAGGAACACCAGGAGCCAGAATCCCAAAGGCCAGGTGACTGCTGAGAACAGTGGTGGTACGAGAAACTCCATGGACCCACTCCCCGGCAAAACAACCATAACTGGTGACATTTAATACAACAAACAATCATTTAATGTCTCTGGAAATTGGCCTAAAGGCATATAGCAAAGGAAGAAACATTTACGTCAGAAAAGTTGTAAAATCTCAGTAAGAACACTGAGCATTTGTGGCATTTGAGCCACACCCCACTCTTTTACTCCCCAACTCAGTGTGGAAGAATCTCCACTCTAGGCAGGTATGGACAAGAAAGCTCCCTCTTCCCCCAGTTCCCAGTCAAGAGCAGCAGTGTCCGCATGGGAAGGGCAGACTGCCAGCATTTCTTATCATGCCCAGCTCCGTGCTGCAGAGGCTAAATTCCAGGTGGGTGCGGCTAAGAGGCAGGGAGCATCCTTCCTCTATCCAATTCACACGGCAGAGGCTTTGCCCCAGGTAGGACAGGCCAAGAATACTGGGTCACAATTGCCCTCACCCCAGCTCATTCTCAGGGCAGAGATTCTATGCTGGAGAAGGCAAGCAGAGAAGACCAGAGGTCACTGCCCCTACCCGGCACCCTGCTCGTAAAGCAAGAGTGTCCCTCCAAGAGAAGTGGGCTGTTTTAGTCTGTTTTGTGCTGTCATGACAGAACACCTAGGACTGTGTAATTTATAATGATCAGAAATGTCTTGGCTCACAGTTCTGGAAGCTGAAAAGTCCAAGATCAAGGTGCTAGCATCTGGCGAGAGCCGTCTTGCTGCGTCATCACATAGCAGAAGGCGGAAGGGCAAGGAGGCAAAAGGGAGGCACATTTGCCCTCTTATCATGGCATTAATCTACCCAGTAAGGAAAAGCCCTCATAGCCTAGTCACCTCTCAAAGGTGCCACCTTTTAATACTGCCTCAGTTGCAATTAAGTTTCGACATGAGTTTGGGAGGGGACAAACATTCAGCCACAGCACAGAAGCCATTTTCCCACCCCCAGATCCAGAGCAGTGACTCGGAAATTTTGCCCAAGGGGAAAGGCAAGCTGTAAGCACTGGGAACTCCAAAGCTCTCCATCAAAAGAAGTGACTTAAGCTGGAACAGAGCATGGGGAAACTCAAGCCAAAGGGTACTCTCAAAAATAATGGAGGTTTGGTGGTAAATGAGTAAGAGGAGGCCAGGAGCTTCACAAGAAGAATAACCTAAACCATAGGTCAGCTAGTTTATCAGAGAGAACCGCAGAGAGAGAGAGCTAAGAGCCCTCCAGGGGTTAGAACAAATCTCAGGACTGGTCTCCAAAATGACCCTGTAAAGGGGCTGAATTTAACTGGATCAGACAGTCAAGCAATTTATGCATTGTCAGAAACAGTAGAGCAATCAGCTGACAATGAGGAGAGTCCAACAGCAGGGTATGATGCCAACAAAGGCAGACGGTTTAACAGAGATTAGAGAGCGAGTCAGAGATTCCCACTAATACACCATCATCCCAGGGTGACTGTACACTTGCCCGGGGCGGTGCCCTCTGAGGGGCAGATTCAGAGGCTTCACTGCACGAGGAAAATAGACTTCACTAAAATAGTCCAGCCAAGTTGCTGCACAGATAAAAAAAGAACAACACCTGAGTGGAAAGATACAGTAGCAAAAGGTATTATAATATATGATCTAAAGTGTCCAGTTTTCAACAAAAACATATGAAACATACAAGGGGGGGAGCAACAGAAACTGCAGGTGAGAGGGCCCAGGTGTAGAATTTAACAAAAACTTCAAAGCAGCCATTAGAAGTATGTTCAAAGAAATAAAGCAGGCTGGGTTCGGTGGCTCAGCCTGTAATCCCAGCACTTTGGGAGGCCAAGGTGAGTGTATTGCCTGAGCCTGCGGGTTCGAGACCCGCCTGGGCAACTTGATGAGACCTCATCTCTACAATAAATCAAAAAATTAGCTGGGCGTGGTAGTGCACGCCTGTAGTTCCAGCTACTTGGAAGGCTGAGGCGGAAGGATCACCGGAGCCCAGCAGGTCGAGGCTGCGGTGGCCGGGAGCGGTCACTGCACTCCAGTCTGGGCGACAGAGTGAGACTCCAACTCAAAAAAAAAAAGAAAGAAAGCAAAAGGAGGGAAGATGACGATGTATTAACAGATAGGATCAATAAAGAGATAAGGAGTATTAAAAAGAAAGACCAAATGGAAATCACGGCACTGAAAAGTATAATAACTGAAATGAAAGCTCACTCAACGGGCTCAACAGTAAGTTTCAAATGGCAGAAGAATCAGTGCACCTGAAGACAGACCGATAAAGATTACGCAAGCCAAAGAGCAGAAAGGGAAAAAGAAAAAGAAAAATGAGCAGACCCTCAGAGAAACTTAGGACACCATTCAGTGCGCCATATGTGTACAGGGAGCACCAGAGGAGAGGAGAGAGAAGTGAGCATAACAAATACCAAATAAGGCTCACACCATAATCTCAGCAGTTTGGGAGTCCAAGGAAGGAGGATCGCTTGAGCCCAGGAGTTCAAGACCAGTCTAGGCAAATAGCAAGACCCCATTTCTAGAGAGAGGAGAAAAAAAGGACATATATATATATAAAATGACTGAAAACTTGCCAAATGTATTGAAAAACATTAATCTACATATTCATGAAGTTCAGTGAAGTCCAAGTAAGTTAAAGGCAGAAGACATACCACAGTAAAAATTCTAGCACCAAAGCCAAGGAAATCTTGAAGGCAGGAGAGAAAATCAACTCATCACTCACAGGAGAACCCCAATGACATTAACAGCTGACTCCTCACCTATGGCAGTGGAGTAACACTCAAAACCCTGAGCAAAAACAGCTCTGTTAACAGAAATCCTACATGCAACAAAGCCATCTTTGAAAAGGAAAAAAAATGAAGGTAAAATAAGGACTTTCCGGATAAGCAAAAACTGAGAAAATGTGTTGCCAGCAAAACTCATTTATAAGAAATGCAAAAGGTTATTCCAATATGTTCTACTTGGGGGAAAAAAAGTAAAATTTTTTAAAAATGCAAAAAGAAGTTCTTCAGGCTGAAAGCAAGTGTGACCCCAGACAGTATTTTGAATTCATACCAGAAAACAAGACAGCCCTGATAGAGGGAATAAATTACAAAAGTATATTTCATCTCTTTTATTCTCTCACTGAGTTGAAAAAGAAGTTGTAGAAAACTATATTTATGTACATTTTGTTGGGCCTGTTGCATATAGAAGCATAGAAAGTTATAATAATTGCACAAAGGAGATGTGAGAGGAAGAAAATGACGCCAGATGTAAATGAGAAGTTTAATATCATAAACTCTACAAAAATGGGCTTACTCTCTTCTCGCAGCGTCTCTAATAGACATTAAATTCTAGAAAATAATCATTATAACAATACATTGATCTGCTTGTAGGTGGAATATATGTAACAATAATAGCACAAAAAGCTCCTTCTCTGATGCAATAGGATGTTGATAGCCCTTTGTTGTTCTACTTATTTTTTAAAATTTTACCAGACTGTAAAACCCAAAAGTCTGGGAGCCGCCTCCCCCAGGAGGCCATCATGTAACTGGGAAGTGGGGAGGTGTGAGAGCCCTTCACCGCCCTCTCTGCTGTATTTACAGTCAGCCTTGAATTGCAGGGTGGTAGAGTCAGGAACTGGTTTCTGCATGGCTCCCTGCATGACCATTGCAGTCCCTATAGGAGCTGGAGAGACAAGACACCCCAATGATCAGTAAGCCATGGGAACTGCATCGGCTTACACTTATGGCTGCACGTAGCTATTGATAGCAGGAAAAGTAAAACTTCCCCTGAGGGGTCAGACCATGACCTTGGCTCCGCTAGCACAGTACTGCATGGCCTGGACCCAGGATCTGACATGGATTTGACCTCAGCTCTGCCAACATAGGCAATGGGACCTAACCTCTCTGTGCCTCAGTTTCCTCAACAATAAAACAGCTGATAATAGTAAGTTTTGTGATGACTAAATGGGAATGCAATTAAATGGCTTAGCCTATGGTGCCCAGTGTAGAGAATTGCCCAGTAACTTTTTGCCGTTAATTATTTGTTTTTATCCTCACCATGATTTTGAACCTACGGTAGACTACCGGTCCCTCCCTCCTCCGATCCTTCCCCAGTCATAAAACAGACAATGCCTAACTATAGCCCAAAATCTAGAATCTTGATAGATTTGGGATATATGTGGCTCTGTCCCTGTCTATGGATACTTGAGAGTTGACTATAAAACATGCTCTTTTAAAATGAAAGTGTGCCGGGCTCGGTGGCTCAGCCTGTAATCCCGCGCCTTTGGGAGGCTGAGGTGAGTGGATTGCCTGAGCCCGTGGGTTCGAGACCCGCCTAGGCAGCGAGACCTCATCTCTACAGTAAATCAAAAAAAAAAATCAGCTGGGCGTGGTAGCACATGCCTGTAATTCCGGCTACTTGGAAGACTGAGGCGGAAGGATCGCCAGAGCCCAGCAGGTCGAGGCTGTAGTGGCCGGGAGCAGCCACTGCACTCCAGTCTGAGTGACAGAGTGAGACTCCAACTCAAAATAAATAGATAAATAAAATAAAAATAAAATAAAATGAAGGTGTGATCCAGCCTGGGCAACGTAGCGAGACCTCATCTGTACAAAAAATTTTTAAAAATTAGCTGGGCATGGTGGCACCTATAATCCCAGCTAGCTACTCAGAAGGCTGAGGTGGGAGGCTAGCTTGAGCCCAGGAGGTCAAGGGAAGTGGGAGAGGTCTGGGCTGTGATCATGCCACTGCACTCCAGCCTGGGCAACAGAGTGAGACCCAGTCTCTAAAAAAAGGATTTTTAAAAAGAAAACCAAAGTGTGCCATATATTACAAAATTTGTTTTATCATATTACTAGTATTTTCTAACATTTACTAAAGCACTTGCTATTTGCCAGGTACTAATCACTTTCCATTATTATCTCATTTAAACCTTCCCACACCTATCTGAGGTAAATTTTATCAATATCCTTATTTACAAATAAGAAAACTAAGACCTAGAGGGAAGATAGAAAAACACCACATTCACCATAGCCTGGTGTCACACAGCCAACAAGGGCAGGATGAATGCAAACCCTGGTCATCTGTCCCAAAGCCCTTGCTCCTTGTCCCGTGCCCTACAGCCTTCCTTTTTTTCCTTCTGTCCTTAGGGATTCACACCAAATATACCCAAGGGACTAGATCTCCTGAGTAGCTAGTTAGATAATACTAGTAACATGATAAAACAAGGGACTAGATCTAAATACTCCCATTTTATAGGTGGAGAAGTTGAGGTGGAGGGAGACGCTAGCACCATGCAGTACCTTTCCCAGAGGTCAGGACTGAGGGCCTGTCCCTCCCCACATCCCTGCAGGTGCTAATCAATACAAGTATGGCAAGAACCGGGCAGAGGAGGATGCCCGCAGGTACCTGGTAGAGAAGGAGAAGCTGGAGAAGGAGAAGGAGATGATTCGGACTGAGCTGCTGGCTCTGCGGCAGGAGAAGCGAGAGCTGAAGGAAGCCATTCGCAGTGACCCAGGTGCCTGGAAGGGGGGGACCCGGGGGACAGTGCATCCTGGGCACAGCAGGGTCTCTTACAGAGGCCACCTAGTTTCTACGCCGGGGAGAGAGGGCTGTTCCTCCCCTTCCTTCCCCTCCCCTTCCTCCCCCTCTTCTTTTATCCTCATCGCTGTAATTCTCCTAATTAAAGCATAGGCAGTGGCTTTGCTAACCACCTTGGGGTCGGGGATGCAAGCACTTCACAGTCCCATGTAGGATGCAGCCTGACTTTAGACTGTGAGAGACAGAGTATGCCTCAGCATAATAAGAGACTGCTTCGAACCTCACCCCTACTCACTCACAGATGCACGAGACACTTCCCCGGACCCCTTCTGACATCCAGGGGCCTTGGCAGGCTCTGGGCTCCGCTACACCCCGTTTCCGCTGTGTTGCCTCTGAATTCTCTCTCTAAGGGCCACTTGTTACACATGCAGCCTCAGTTTCCCCACATGCTGGAGACAGCAGGAGTCCTGTCATCCTGTCCTTATAGAATATGTCCACACAGCCCTGTGATGGACCTGTGGGCCTTTTCCCAGGAAGAAATGGCACAGTTCACAGTGTTGCAGCAACCTCAGGCCCACGTGCCTGCCCGTGGCACTGTCCACAGATCACCCAAGAATCCCGAGCTCTGGTTTAGAGGATAAGCTTGTTCTGTGTGGCCAGAACCAAGGAGGAAGGTGGAGGCAGGTGGTTCTGTTTCCACAGCAAGGACTTCCCAAGATTCAGAACCAGGATGGAGTGGCCGACTCTCTTCTTTGTCCCACTCAGTCTTGATTTACTGTGGCACTTTCACTTTGTGATACACCAGGTTGTTTATATTTATTGTGCATCACACACACATGAGTCTAAGCTCTAGGGGGCAAGGGCCTTTGCCTGTCGTTCACGTATATGTCCCAGGGGCCAAGGACAGGGCTTGATATGTAGAGAACAATCAGTAAGCATTTACCAAATGAATGAATGTAAGGTTCAGCATCGCTGGAAAACCCTCCAACACAGCCTCCCTCAGAACAAAGAATGGAGTCAATTTTAAACCTGGTAAGATCCAACACAGCACTTGACACAGGGAAGGTACAAATAGTAGGTTTGTTAGATTAAATTTAATAAGCAGCAAAGTCCTAGGAGAGATTCTGGTCTGTCAAGCCCTGTGTTAAGACTCTTGCTTACAAGCAGCAGAAAACGTCACACTGACACAGAAATGGAAATAAGAAAAATGACGTTTGAAAACTGAGGTCAGTGTAGCGAGGCCTGGGAACTCACATGATGCCACCAGGAAGCTACTTCTCTCTCTCGTGCTTCTGTCTTCTCTCCTCGGTTTCACTCTCCTCTCACTGTGGCACCGCAGCTGTCCAGTGCCAGCCCTCACACAGGCCTCCCAGCCACCCAGAGGGGAGAGCTTCTTTTCCCAACAAAAGCCGCAAGAGCCTCAGAGCTCACTCTGATCGGTCCAACTCTGATTCCTAACCCAGTCACTATGACCAGAGATGAGCCCTGTGATTATGGGCCAGGCCTAAGTTATGTGCCGAACCCTGACCTAGAAGTAGGGTCAGCTCCACCCAAACTACAGGGAATGAGAGGGAAAAGGGCTGCTTCCAATTGATGGAAATGGGTTCTGAGCAGATAAAGACCACACCACCTAGCGCAGAGCTGGCCCAGGTCCAAGGCCCAGCTCTTGACCAGGACAGAAAGGCTGACAGGCCTCTGGGAAGTCCGCAGGGGCCTGGCTGCACCAGATGCCCTGACATGGCAGGTGGGTTCACCTCCTTCTCATCCTGTCTTGGGTCCAGGAGCAAAGTTAAAGGACCTGGAAGAAGCCGTGGCCACCCTGGAAGCCCAGTGCCGGGAGAAGGAGGAGCGCCGGATCGACCTGGAGCTGCGGCTGGTAGCAGTGAAGGAGCGCCTGCAGCAGGCCCTGGCGGGTGGCCCGTCCCTGGGGCTCTCTGTGGGCAGCAGGAACAGGAGTGGGGTGAGTGCACCGGCTCCGCTGGGGAGCTGCTCACGTGTGCCTTCACATGCCACAGAAAGCTCCATCGTGACCATTGTCCGAGGGCCAGCGTTATGCCCATTTACAGATGAGAAAGCTAGGTCTGCAGAGGGGAGGGCACACCACAGGTGACACAGCTAGAAGGGGGTAAGGCCTTGTGGTTCTCTGGCCTGCTCTCTCCGCAGAAGCACCACCATGTGACTTTTATCCTGAAGGTGACCTTAGAAATGACCTTGGGGTATTGATAACTCAACAGCCACCATGTTGAGTAACAAGTGTGTGTCAACCATGACCATGGCCAGCGCAGCATCTAGTCTGCGTCCTCTCGCACAGTCTTCACGGTAGTCCTATGAGGCAATATTATGTGGGTCATTGGCAGATAAGGGAACCAAGGTTCAGAGATGCTCTATGAGTGGCTCGAGGTCACTTAGCAGAATGGGAACAGTACTCCAAACCCAGGAGTGCCTTAGTCACTGGTGCATGGCCTCCCTGGAGTCTTCAGGGGGCTGGTCCTATCCTTGGGGCTCTGCTGCCGTGATCTCTGAGGCCCAGAAGCTGTGCAGGAGTCACGCTGGCCTCCAGTGGGGTTCTCCCAGAGGACTTCCTGGCCTCACCTGTGCCAGGTTCCTTGAGCTCAGCCCCACTGACATCTTGGGCCTTATGCAGGGACTGTCTGTACATCATAGGCTGTTCAGCAGCACCCTTAACCTCTACCTGCCAGCGGCCAGTAGTACCTGCCTCCAGTGATGAGAACTAGAAATGTCCCCAGAAATTACCAGATGTGCCCTGGGAGAGCAAAGTTGCCCCTAGTTGGAACCCTGGTCTAAATTATCAGTGCTTCCTCCGTTATCCTTCCTCATAGCCCTTAACCACAGTTTGCATGTGTGTATGCATGTGTAGATCAGTTTGTGTGTTTACTTGTCCAGTGTCTGTCTCCTCCACTAGATAGTGTTTTATAAGAATCGGATGTTGTCTGTTTTGTTTTCAGACCCTTTACAAGGTCTGAAACATAGTAGGAGTGCTGTGAATGTCTGTCGAATGAGTAAATGTTTTGCCTGCTTTCAGACAAGGAAATGGAGACTCAAAGGGATGAAATAACTTGTCTGATAAGTGTGACTTGCCAATGGAGACGTGTCTTCATTGTCCCAGGTCACCCTGCCTGGTCCCACCCCACCCAGTGACTCTGAGGCCAGTGCTATGTCTCACGGCCCCACACATCCTCTCCATTGGCGTTTCCAGCCTCACTTGCCAGAAGAAGAACACAAATGCCAAGGAAAAAGCAACATCCCAGAGTCACAGAGGGTGCAGAGGAGCTGGGCATCTGTTGGAGCCACTCTCTCCCACCAGCTAGCCCTGCTATTCCTGCCCAGGGCACATTTTCTTCACTTCACATCCCATTGACTCCCACTGGTGATGGAGAAGCTGTCTCTAAGTCCCCCGCAGGCTTCATGTTAGGATGTCACACTCACTTAAGGAGCCACCCCAGCAAGGCACTAAGCAGTGATCTGGAGCAGGAAAGGGGAGAGTTGGTATGGAGACGAGGATGGATATAGGAGAGGCTGGGCACAGAGGCCCTGGCTCACCCACCCACCGACCAGCTGACCTTGCACAGCAACTTGACCTTGCCGGTGTCCTCATCTGTGAAATGTGAAATGGGAGGACATGACAGTACCTACTTCATAGGCATGTTGAAAAGCCATATGGGCGAGTTCATGTAACACCTCGGGCCAGCAGCTCTTTGTACAGGGACTGTCTGCACATCATAGGCTGCCCAGCGGCATCCTGTGAGATGGATGCAGCTCCATTATCTCTGTCCCAAGGCCCTCAAGTGTCTCCTCCTCTCCCCTTGTCCAGTGCTTTCAAGGTCGCCTAGTACCTTCTACTTTAAGGTGTCCTCACTCCTGGGGGTTGGAGGCTGAGTGTGGTAGCCAGCACCAGGCCCCATCCACGTCACTGTTTCTTGCCACCACAGGAAACTGCAATTAAGCCCCAGAACGGTGCCACAGAGCAACCTCTCCCAGTCAACTGCGTCTCTGAGCTGAGGAAGAGGAGTCCCTCCATCGGAGCCTCCAGCCAAGGAAGGGTGCTGCAGAAAGCCAAGGTACAGCCGTGGCTCCACTTGGTGGAGTCAGACCTGGAACTCCCTCAGATGGGGCCTCACCCAAACCAGGACAGCCAGTGAGAAGGCAGGGTATCGCCGGTCCCTTACACAGTGAGACCCGTAGCTTTTCCTCGGGTGTCCCTCAGATCTCACTCAGAACCCGTTCGCTTCTGTGGCACAGGTTTCTAACAAGCCGGGTCATCTGGTTTCTGAGCCTATTGTGTTTGAGACAGGAAAGGTCCCATTTCCTAGGTGAGGAACCAGGGAAATTGGTACATAGCAGGGGCCTCGGACGTTGGATTGTGCGAGGCAGCATTGCAGGAGCGGGGAGCAAGCCCACCTCACCTCTAATCCAGGCCCTTCCATCCTGCTGGGCCACAGCCCCTTCTGGGTGGCCTTGGGGTCAGCTGTGTTTCAGAACTTTGGGTCTTTTAAAAGGTAACATGGTATATATCCTATCTACCAGTGGTCCCCACCCTTTTTGGCATCAGGGACCAGTTTTATGAAAGACGAATGGGGTGGAGAGAGAGAGATCATCCAGCATTAGATTCTCATAAGGAGCACACAGCCTAGATCCATCACATGCGCAGTCCACAGTAGGGTTCGTGCTATGAGGATTTCATGCAGCCGCTGATCTGACAAGAGGCGGAGCTCTGCTTGCCCACTGCTCGCCTCTTGCTGCCCGGCTGTTCCTAGCAGACTGGTCTGCGGCCCCAGGGTTGGGGATCTCTGCCATATATGATGAAAAACCCCAAGTTCTCAGGCGGTACCCAGTATGCAAACATGTTAATAATCCTATAGCACGATGTATGGATATTTGTACCACGTGGAATCAAGGACTGTCAACAGCTTCACAGAGGTCAGGGCAGACTTTGCCACCAAATGAGTTGTTGCCACAACATGTGAGAAATATTTTGGTTCAGAGCTTTCTGGATTTCAGAATTGCAGATAAGAAAGTGTGAATCTGTCTCAGCCCATCTTCTGCTGCTTATATCACAACACCTGGAACTGGGTAATTTATAAAGAAAAAGAATGCATTTCTCGCTGTTCTGGAGGCTGAGAAGTCTAAGGTCGAGGGGCACATCCAGGGAAGGCCCTCAGCTGGTGGGGACCCTGCAGAGTCCTGCGGTGGCTCAGAATGTGAAATGGCCAGGGGCTGGCATCTACCACATGGCATCATGTGGCAGGGGCTGGGTGTGCTCGCTCAGACCTCTCATGCTCGTCTCATAAAGCCACCACTCCACTCCATGATAACCCATTAGTTCATTAACCTACTCATCTACAAATGGGTTAATCCATCCATGCAGGTTCTGCCCCACTTCTCAATGCTGCCACATTTGGGATTAAATTTCAACATGAGTTTTCAGACAGTTCCAGTCATAGCAGGACCTGGAAAACAAATGCCTGGCATATCAGAGCCACTCAGCAAGTCCCTGCCGAAGTCAACATGAGACATGTCTTGCAGCCACAGCCCAGAACGTCTGTAAAGCTCGTGAGGGACGAAACTGGGAAGGTTATTAGATACTATAAGGACCCAAATCCCAAGCTAAGACAGGTGGAGACTGGTGAGCTTTCAAGATGAAAGCTTTCAAGCTCCTTAAAGATGAAGACATAAAACTAATTTGCACTAATTTAAAATAAAAGGAGAGTAGAATGGTGGTTGCCAAGGACTAAGGGCAGGGGCAACTGGGAGCTGTTGGTCAAGAGGACAGACTCCATTGCAAGCTGAGTAAGTTCTGGGATCTGCGGGATGACAGTGAACTTGGAATCTGCCTGTATACTTGAATATTTGGTATTTGCTAAGAGAGTATCTCTTAAATGTTCTCGCCACAAAAAGGTTTTAAAATGGTAACTAGTTGAGGTAACAGATGTGTTAACTAATATAACTGTGATCATCATTTCATGATATAAGTATATTAAATCAAAAAAGTAAAAGAAAATAGTAAAATAAAAGGGGTCCCCTACTTCCTGTTTGAAGCAGTGGCAACTTCCAGTTTCATTCACTCCAGACACCCACACTGAGCACTTGCTAAATGCCAGGCACTCTGCTAAACATTCCAATGTGTTCTGCATTTCATCTTTGCCATCACCAAGCAGAGTGGGCACTTAACCCATTTCCCAGCCAAGGAGACAGGATTGACTGGTAGAAAAGACCAGGCACAGTGGCTTATGCCTATAATCCCAGCACTTTGGGAGGCTGAGGTGAGAGGATTGCCTCAGCCCATGGGTTCGAGACCAGTCTGGGCAACTTGGCAAAAACTCATCTCTACAATAATTCAAAAAATCAGCCGGGCATGGTGGCACATGCCTGTAGTTCCAACTACTTGGAAGGCTGAGGCAGAAGGATCACCTGAGCCCAGCAGATCGAGGCTGCAGTGGC